CTATACAACCCAAAGTACCGATGCACGGCAGGTAGCGACCCAAGAGAGGAGAGATTATGGTCACTGTAGGGAGTCCGTCATAAAATGCAAATCGGTAAACAACACCAGATAAGCTTATTTATTTTGAAATGAAGGGTACAGGGAAATAACCATCGAAACCCATTTCTATGTATTTTGAAAGAAATTGAGTTGAAAGTTTAAAATGCTGCGGAAAATAGAATGAGAAACCCACAAGGTTCAGTCTAATACAACTTTTTATTTTCTTTATAATGTTTTAAAAATATATACAATAAACTGTTTATGTTCAAATATAACAGCAAAAAAAATTGATGGAAAGTTGTTTCGACAGAACTTCCCTCGCACCTAAAACACAATGAAACATATCCAGCATTTTCGAGTTAAATTTTTACTTTAGGTACACAATTTTGTGATGAAATCATCAACATTTTGCAAGGACACGTAAATCAATGTGGATTAGACTAAAAATAACAATATTTCAAAAATTTCTGGGAAAATGGAGTGAGTCGAGACTGATTTAATCAATAGAGTAAAATAAATTGACTCATTCATTAATTTTTTTGAGCCACCTAGCTATATAAGCAAATCTAAAAAAATATGAATGCAATGATAAATTACAAGTAAAAACTCATCATATTTTGCACATTTTTAGTAGAATTTATTCAGCAAAATTTTGAGATGATGTTATCAATTTTTTAGTAGCATAATCCTGAACTTGTGGTTTATAAATACATTATTGAGATTTTTCGACTTTTCGGTTTTTCGATTTTTCAACTTTTGATGTTTCAATTTTTCAGTATTTTAATTTTTGACATTTTCAATTTTTCCATTCTTCAAATTTTCTATTTCTCCATTTTTTTATTTTTCGATTTCTCAATTGTCCGATGTTTCACTGATACGATTTCGCAATTTTTCAACTTTTCGATATTTTAATTTTTCAATTTTTAAAATTCTAGATTTTTCGATTTCTCGAGTTTTCAGTTCTTTTATGCATATTTCAGTTTATTCAATTTTCGGAATTCATTATATTTCCGATTTTCCAATTTTTTTTAATTTTTCGATTTTCCAGTTTTTCGATGTTTCGATTTTTCAATTATATGTATGATTATTCAATTTCTCGATTTCTAAATTTTAGATTTTCCAATTTTATTTTTTTTTTATTTATTCATGTTTGGACTATTTATTATTGCTAAAAATAAAAGTAAAAAATAACTACCAAAATTGTGACTAAAAATATGTAAAAATTAATAGAAAATAGAACACATTGCTGCTAAAACATAAAAATTACCTGTACTTTCCCAAAAAAATCTATTACATGATTACTGTTCTACTAGTATTGCTAACGTTAGTATCAAACGCAGTGAAAGTATTAATTCTTAGATAAACAAAAAAATCGTTGAGTGTCAAAGTCGACTGGAACATGTGAGACGTGTGTAAACAAAAGCATCTAAATAATAACTATTTCCCGCAGAATTTCTGGAGGCTTATAGAGTCGACATTGGCCTGAGCGCGCTCCGGTCTGTGGATCATACAAGTTCTCGGGCGACGATGTATCTAATAACGAGGCAGTTGAAATACCTGATATGTCACAGCGCAAAAAGTATTTCTCAAAAATCTTTCAAACGTTGATGTCTTTTTAATCGAACAAAATACAATTGGCGAACGCAATAATCCAGAATGGTGCACAGAAAAATCCTTTAGACTAACCGAACGTTATTTTGGTAAAATTTGCAACATGAGAGAACAAGTAACACGGTTAATCCCACTGTACAGTGAAAAACATTTTACATTCCTGCAAATCTAGTTCAGCATGTACTCTCCCAAAATCTTTGCATAGAAAGTGAAGCAAGGGCAACTGAAGCATTGTGCAGTAACACCAAACTGACAGTAAGACAATGCGGTTTGTACATTTTTAGCGGCATCGCCAGACGGCTTAATAAACAAAAACGCTATCTTAGAAATATATAAAATGTCCAATTTAAATAATGCTTAATTCAACGAGATGATAAATTTTGGGAAAATAATATGATAGAGCGAAATAGATAGAGAGAAAAATTTTATTTTATGCCTTACTTCAGGAGAGAGTAGATTCGCGTTATTAAACAAATCAATCCATTAGACAAATTGTAAAGAAAATATTGTACAATTAAAATTTTTTATTTGCATTCGCGTCATGTGTAGTTCATATAAATCTTTTCCCCTTCTAGTATAAGCATCACACACAGAAATAAATAGTAATATTGGAATAGGTTTACTGGAGATATCACGTAAAAAACGTGCCTATAATACTCTACCTCATAGGTGGTGCGGAAAAGAGTATCAAAAAATTAAATTTAAATAAATATGATTGTTCAGGTAAATACGTAAGTGGTTAGTGAAGTGATGAGAATTTAAATCTTGTCAGTTTTGTGTATTGATTTATATATAGAATGACAGATTAATAAAAAATACTAGAATAATTTTTTGTAAGAAAATGTTTTAGTAGAATGTATAAAATTATAAAAATTTGTATACTTTTAATTCAAATTATGTTAGCAATGAAAGAAGTCGACTTGTAAAAGAGTTTCAACAATGTTGGCCAGCTAAGAGTATTTATGAGTTTTATGACCTAAAGTACCTGAACGGATTACCTGTAAGGGTCGGTCGGCAAGGCCCCCTGCTGTGTCAAACTCAGCCATTTATGGAAACGAATCCTTTGTAAATAGGGTTGCCTAGTTTCAATTTAATTTCATTATTCAGTATTTTTTTAAAACGCAAATATTTTGATAAATATAATTTTTAAACAAAAATGACCGGGTCTTCCCCATAGAGCTCAATGTTGTCTTTGCACTGATATAAAAGTTGAAGCTTTCTCCTCGTCTAAAAATGCAAATTCCTTCGAAGAATGAACGATTAATTAAACACTAAACAATCACTTATTTTAAAAAATATTGTGTCTTCCCCAGAGATTTAGACATAATCTATCAATTGAAATGTCGATCTTTTTTTCAAAGTTGAAATTACGTCCGTAAAATGAAAATCTATTTAGCTCATTTTTCGGTCTGCTACTGGGCACCCTTAACTTTCCGAAGGACGGGTGTATATTCAATTACGCCACTGACCGTGTCATTTCTTTATCGGCGACCTCACACGTTTGGGCAAAATAGTTTATATAAGCAACCTAGTAGACAAAACAGTGACCGGAAGCTGGAGACGATGTGGGCGGCGGGCGGGGAATCACTCGGTCAGATGGCGAGACGATGCAGTTGTGAAGCCAATTCGAAAAAAACTGTGTATGCGTGAAGGTGTGTTTTCTGTTTTCTCATAATTATTGTTCCGTACATAGAAATCTATATGTTGTACGAGATTAAAATTTGCTGCCAGGTAAGTGAATATATTTTTTTCAGTTCTTTCAAATCATTTCTTTGGCATTAGCATCATAGTTTCACTTTCACCTTTTTTATTGATCAAATTAAGAACGAGTGACCCCATTTTCCAGAAAATGTGAAAATACAAACGTCTTTATTCAATAAGAATTATAATAATGATATTCAGGACATTTTGTCGATTGTAGCTTAATAGTTAATTGCTTTGATCCTCTGTTTTGAGGGAACGAACTCATTCAAATCAAATTAATTTCTACGTGACATTCTTCCGATGTATAAACATAAACACTTTCAAGTTGTTTTCCTTGTCGAGGATAACTTAAGGACGTACAGTAATCAAGTCCAGTGGACAATTTGGTACTTTCAAATTTTCTCGAAATTTGATAAGGCCGTAGCTAGAGGGTGGTTAGGGAATGCTCTCCTAGATCTAGACAAGTTATAATTAACCCAATGTGAATTACAGCATCCACGCCATTGTCATCCGGTTATTGCAATTCGTAGAAACCATGTTTTAGTTTAGTTTGTGTTTCACCGTCACGTCTACAGGTTGATATCAGTGTCATCGCTATTTGTCTTAAATTACAAGTACTATATAGGATGCTCATTTTATCTGTTCACGCCTGACAATTTTTGCATAGGCAACATACTATACACGTTTCCGACAGCGAGGGAAGTACTGTCTAAACTATTTAGACCAATTTTTTTAAATTGAAACTACTAAAGGTTCTTTCAAAGTACTCGGAAATATATCACCAAGAAAACAAGCAATTATTTTATAACCAATAACTTGACCTATCGTTTTAAAAAGTTCAGAAGGAATTTAGTCCAACCCCGACCACTTTTTTGAATCGAGACCTTTTGTAATATTAATAACTTCAGTAGAATCAGTTGTTAATAAAACCGTACATTTTTTAAGCATTTTTTTTATCCTTTCGAATATTAGTATGGTTGTTAAGCGAAGTAACTTCTGAAAAATAATCACTAAAGGTAGTAACCGTTTTCTGTGGGTTTTCTATTAAATCTTCATTACCAGTTTTTAATTTGATTGGACCGGGATTATTTTCTCTAGATATTACCTTTTTTAAATATTAAAAGTACTTTTTGTTTTACTTTCAGACAATACCTATGTATTGATCATTAATTTTTTTTTTTCGGTTCTTTATATAATCTTTACACTTTTTCCTTTCTTCCTTGTATATATGCCTGCTTTAGTGATACCTAGATGATAAAGTCGCAGTTTGACCACTGTTTTCTAGATGGATCTTCAATTATAGAATTACATTTAATATCAAAAATTTTAATATTGGATTCGATTAGTGGAAAGGCTCTATTAAATCCAATAAGAAACTTAGTATGAAGCAATAAAACTCAAAAACATTTGGGTTCTCTATTGTATAGGTATCATACTTGTATAGTCCTTTTCTTTTAGGTTGAAAAAGCGTTTAAAATTTTTGTTATTGAAATCAATAGCTTCATCGTTGATACTAGAGAAGTTATGAAACTCGCTTGTTAGCTTTGACACCAAATACAGCATCCGGTGTTAATTTTCCTACTTTCCCACTTTTGTATTTCTTTATTAAGTATTACTAATAACGATGTAAAGAGATGTACAAATTAGCTCTATTTCTTTTTTTATTTCAATACAAAGATTTTTACACTTATAAATGTACATCAAATCTAAATATCTAAAAATGATAAGAAATATTAGACTGTCGTTTATACACACCATCTACTAACATCACAGGATTCCACTTTCCCTGGTACCGTTTTTCCATTTCTAATATGTCTTGAACTTTAAGGTCACTTTGTTGACGTTTTGTCGTATTGTTTTAGCTGAAATAGTAGAAGAAATAATACTACGAATACCCTTATCCCCGCCCTAGACAACATCAACCAATGACAAGTGAGAAGATGGTGACCGTCCCGCGTTGTGTATTATCAGGTCGCAACATACCTGAAACGAGTTTCAACTTGTGCATTTTCTCCATAACTTGAACTAATCTAACTCTAATAATTTTCCATTAGTTTATACTTCATATCAGCTGATCAACTTTATCATTCAATGATCCCGGGTAAAAACTCTGATGACCAGATCAGTTTAAAAGTTTAACAAAAGTAAACTCACACCAAACTGACAGTATAGACGTCACTGATTTAACACAGAGAAGTGTATAACCAAAAATGAACAACTAATACGAGACAAAAAGTATCAAATATAATCGTTTCAACCTCAATAAATTTAAAGTTAAATTGGTTTCTAAGTAGATCCAGTTCAATGAAAGTCAATCACTCACCGAGCCCACCTCTGGGACCAATAATAAGGTCACCATGATAAATTCACAGGTTCACCATTAATTTGTACTCATCAATTGTGTAGATTTCTAGACAATCGCTCTGCACATTAAGTGCATGCATCCATAAGAGAGATTTTAGCAGACATTAAAATTATTTTCAATGGGTTTTGTTTTTGAGACTTAGGGACATCTTCGTTTTTTTAAATGGTACGAAGATAGAACTCTTTAATTGTGCGTGTGTAACCATGAATTCCAAAAATTGTAAAAAAAAATAATTAAAATAAAATTTTAAACTAGTTGTCACGCTTAATTTGAAGTAATGATTTTATAAACTGAAACTGTTGAATATGATAGAGACTTCACCAGAAACAATGAAATTATGGCATCAGGAAATTTAACCAGCATTCCAAATTTTAATTTTACTTTGGCTGTGTGACCGTCAACGTGAATATTTTTAATAAAAAGAATGATAATGAAAATTTAAATTACATTACAATTAATGCTTCAATGTTCGTGTTTTCTTAATATTTGAATGTTATGATCCAAATTTATGGTTATTAAAAAAAAATAAAAATTTTCAAATATCGTTGAAGGAATTATGCACATAACTCATAATTGAAATAATGTTAAGGTCGTAGAAAAAGTATGGTTTGCACTCTCTGATCTGTCTAACTCGCCGTCATCTCATAATAGGATCATAGGAAACTTTCCTTTCATGTTCAATATAATGATGTTACGGAATATACTATTTTAAATCAGGATGTTGTAAAACGAGACTTATTATGTCTAGTGCAAAAAGCATTTGTTATTTTATAATTTTAGTCTAGAAATGTTCTGCACGTTAACGTTTTTCATCGAATAATTTCTGCTTACAACACAAATCTTACCTAGAACTATTCCACTCTTGTTATAATGATTGAGAACCTTTTAAATATGCAAATTAAAGTCTCAGTTCTTGATACATATATTTTATTGTAAAACTAATACTGATTTTTAATTTTATTCTTATTACAAAAACAAACACATAAATATTCAGTTTTTATGAGTAAGCTTTTTTTTACACTTACATGTTTAAAAACAATACATGCAATGATGAATGCACTAACATCCAAGTTGAAAATTTAATTACAACATGTGAAAAATGAGTGAAGGAAAATAAATAATTTTTAGAGTCATTGTGATTTTCTCTTTTAATTTAAGGCCCTGACCAAATTCCATGCGTTCTTTCATTGCAAAAAATACGTAAAGAACAAAAGTAGATGATTTCAAGTAACGAAATCAACGAAAATCCTGTAAATAAACCTAAGAGACCTCCGAAGTTGGATATTAAATCAGAAGTGCCATATAATTCGTTTCTTTCCATTGTTTTAAATTGCTCTTCTTTGAAATAAACCTGAAGAATTGACCAATATGAGCTAAAAACAATTAATTTTTATTTACGCTATAACGTAAAAAAGTTATCATACCCATCTTGCGCAAATTTCATTTGCAAATGCGTTTCAAAATACTCCTCAAAGTAAAAATCACTATGTGAAGTTTCCACACTAAATTTCATATTTGTGCAAGAAGGTCTACAATTGCAAAAGTGATTTCCTTCTAATTTATACTCTAATTCCTTCACTTTTAATTCACCTAAAAACTAATAAAATGAAGATATTTACAATTATTGTAAACTTATTCTTACTTTCAGCCTGTTCTACACATTCGGATAAACCGTTGCCACATATTGCCGTTTTGTTATTTCCTGTTGTCGAAAACGATACAAAGACTTTTCGTAAAATATATGTAATGTACTTACTTGGCATAAAATATTCAACACAACCACATTTTTTCAACGTATAATTCGTTTGACATTCAAGTAAACAATTACGCTGACTATAAAATTTGAAGTGTTGCAAGGGACGTTCATCCTGCATGAAACACTTTCTTTTTTCAGGTTTGAATTTTCTGACAGTGTCAGAAGTAATAATAATTTCAGGTTCCATAGCTGCTACGACAACTTTACTGAAAGGTACACGAAAGAAATGTTTTGTGAGGCGAGGTACATCCCAAGGGTTATGAATTAGAACCTACAAAGTGCAGAAAAGCAGAAAGAAAAATTGATAAGTAGTGATTTCGATGTGACCTTCAATAAATAGGTACGTGCTAATATTACACAGTCAAATGACACTCTGACCTGTAACAGTTATTGCTAAAATTTAACTTTCAATTTCACATAGAGATAGCCGCTTTAAAAATCAGCAAAATGGTTCGTCTTAAATAAGGTGATAAGAAAACATATATGGTACATTAAATCACTGCGAATACTTACTCGAAATCCTCTATAAAGACCATTACATATGGAGTCAGTATAATTTGTATCAAAGTTAAAAAATATATGCAACGCATTGTCAATGCCAGACATCAATGCTCTTCTAGGATACGTGTTCACACCAGCGTTCTGGTTGTACCCGGTTTCAATATTAAAATTATCTGCAGATTTGTTAGGAACGTGGTAATATTGTGCATAATTATAGCTACAAATAGTCGTTAAAACAAAAGTTTGAAATAAATGCAACTTACACGTGATCTTTAAATATTTCATCTCGCCCTAAAATGTTAAACGAATAACATATTCCCCCATCTATTATGACAGGCGTAAAAAAATCTTCACACTCAATACTTTGTTTGTAATATATACAAACTATAAACGTTTGATTGGCCTTAAATTTCACCTAAAATTTAAAAATAATAAAATTAAGATGTACTTATTAACAATTATCGCAGCTCAACAAAAACCATTCTAACCTACCAAAATATTTCATTTCATAGTAACGTATCTTACGTCACATTTTTTGAATAGTCCTGATTGTCTTGCTAGCATTACACTAATTTATATATTTTTATCAAATTTAATAAAAAAAAAATCATGATAACACTGAAAGTCAAGCACTTTGGCTTCTCAGGGAATCCTCTGTACCTAGATACTGATAAAATGGAAGAATGTAACATCACATGTCTAGCAGAAGAATATTTATTACATACTTACCTACAATTTTCAACATGGAAAAATTCAAAAGCAAACACAATTGTAGTTGCAAACAGCAAAGAGGGTAATAATGGACCCACAATGTTTCCATTTCAAGTGAAAATAAAGAAAGTAGCCAGCAATAGTTTCCATAGCTTTGTAATTTTTTCTGTCTATATTATGCAACGCAACTTCGTTAATTATTGTAAGTGCTAAAATGTATTGCGTAGTTGTTTCATTAAAATCCGAAAAAGCATGTTTTTCATTTTCTTTGTTGTTGGTCAATTTATTAGCGATTTTTGGAAGTTTTCTACACGTAATAACACAATGAATGCTGTGTTTATCGTATAATAAGTTTCAGCAATGTCGACCCAGTTTCTTTTAACGACGTTGGTTACACTTAATTTTTCCTTATTTATTTGTCCTCATAAAGCGCTGTGGGTGTTACAAATGTATAACAAATCCAATTTGACAGATCCACACTAGTAGAGGAAGGCGGGGTAAAGTGAACATAGATATGAAAAAATGAACTTTTATATGCATTATAATGATATATCCACTCTCCACGGTGGCCGTTAAAGACCGCTAGTTGTGACGTCATCAAATTGAACTAGTTATATGAAGTAGGTACTACTTAATTTTATTTCAGATACACTCCTTAATAATAATGAATGAATAAAAAATGAATACACAATAGTCAATAAACTTTTACATTCAGATTGAAGTTTTATGTAATTTGCTAATTTTACAATTATGATTATAAAGAAATTTTCTTGAATATGTGTTTGCTTTATTTACGGGTTTTTAAATATAATAACTTTAACAGTCAAAAACAATAAACAAACGCATCATATCCAGCCCTTCTCTGACGCCACAGTCTCCATTTTTCCTGTAAGAAATGGTATGATCGGTCTATTAAACCTCAAATTATTATCAGACGTAACCTACGCCATACGCTCACAAAATATTTGAGTATCGAAAGGTAACTAGAGGTTTTTTTATTTGATCACTCGTTATCGTGGGTTCGAAAATAAAATTAATTCGAGTATGTAAACTGTGCTTCACTGAAAATAGTTCGTTCTTTTAATATGATATTTATGAATTAAGATATACTCAGGGCTAGGTTCAAAAGCATGGTAACGATAGTCTCAACTGACGATTGTTGCTCTGTTTGGGACTTGCTTATTTTTAGTTTTCAGACTTTGTTTTTAGGATTTTTTTTCCCCATTATTCTTTCATTTATTTGTTGTACACACGACTTAAGTTCACAGAATTACGTCAACAAAAATATTAAATTTAACGTAAAAGGGTAATTTATCAACTTAAAAATAATAAGTAGGTAACAGTGGTGATCATCGTTTCAAATTTTTAAAACACTTTTCTGGCTTCTATGCCGTTGTAGTTGAAACAAATCTGCGCCAAGTAAAAATTTAATGTAAACTATTATGAAATAAGTTAAAAATTTCCACCATTTCTTGTCCTGTGTATTATTTCCGTGGTTTCATATTTTTAAGTATCTAGGTACGTATTGTATTTAAGAATTTGGAATTTTGTAGTTGGCTTTTCAGTAAAAGACAAATAAAAAAATGAATTGCTGTTAATTTAAAATATTATTCACAAAGTACAAAGATTAGATTTGTCTAGAATGGTAATAATTTTTGTATAATTTGTAATATTGTTACTCATACATAATGCCGACTTACTTCTTCTAGGGTTTCAAAAAATTCGTGGCCCACCGTTTTGTTGGCAGTTTTTGAAATAATATTAAGGTCTTTGCAGACAAGACGCAAATGTGAAAACTTTGTAAAGCTGCAAACAAGATTGATATTCTTCACTAATTTACCGGACGTGTCTAAAAAAAGCCCAGGCCTGTAGTTGTCCTGTAAGCTAGGGAAGTATTTTAATCTAATCATCGGGCGATTGGTTACTTCTGTTTTCTCGACCTTTCGTGATCCTTAGAGTACGAAAAAATAGAGCTTCCGTTTCCATCTGTCTGTCTGTCTATGTCGATTTTTATTAGACAGATAAAATTACTGGGCCGATTGTTGGTCAGATTTTATTTGTATGTTAAAAATATTGTGTAGATGGTAAAACGCTAACCAAAATTTGGCTAATCATCCCTATTAGCAAATTTACAACAATAAATCTTATTTAAATTTTATAAAATAAAAAATTCCTACACCTATGGTTTATGGATCCGTCTTGCGTCGTTCCTCTAGGCATCCAAAGATGTTTTTGAAAAAAAAATCAAAACTACATTCTGCAATTAAATTTTGAAACTGCAAAACCGAATGCTCTGAAATCTTGCAAACGTTTTAATGTTATCGCAAACATCGTTAATTGTTAATCAAATCCTTTTATCCGCTCCAAAAAATTTGACGACGCTATTTCAAAATTTTACATGTGTGGTTTATCACTGCACTCATATTTTGTAGAATTGTTTACACAGGCGTCTCAAAAAACTAATCAATTAGGCAACATATTTTATTGTTCTAATCAAAAACGGTTCACTCCATTTGCTCGAAAATTTTAGTACACGATATTCTTATTATTAGTATTATACGGTACCTATTTAAAGTGATATATGTAGTTGAAACGTATTCACAGCATGTTCCTTGACCTGTACTTCAATAGTTCCCACATATTTTTATTTTAACTTATACGGACTATCATAAAAAAATAAAATTTGCAAAATTTGCTTTTATAATTTTTCGAAGAATCTGTATTTGTTCCCCTGTACTTCAGGGGGGAGGGAGATTCTGACTGAATAACTTTAGACTCATGTTTTCGAGTATAGCAGTGTATATTACGTAAAATCAAATTGTTTTAAATATACTATGACCAGTTTTGAAAAATTAATGTTTAGAGTTTTTGAAGTAACCTATATGTTTTTAAAAATTCTTCTTGAAATTTTCTGAATCAATTGATATATCACACTGTAGTATTTTTAAACATCCATAATTTTACAATTGCAATATTTTTTCTTTACTTAATTACTGTTTTCGGGTAAAAGAAATTTTATTTTCAAATTTAAATGTTTCTGTACCTAGATTAAAAAAGTTACAAAAGGTCTCAAGCTTGCTAGCATAAATTTTGGCATAATAACCAGGATCTTATGCGCAAATACTTATGTTAATAAATTCATGGCAACCGTCGTGGCACAAAAATGAAATTAACTTTTACTACAACTTTTTAACAGAATATGATATAATATAGCGTTTTAATTAAAAAAAAGCTAAATGTAGACAAAAACAAATGGAACCTAAAAATTAATTTTTCAAATCAGATCGTAGTATATTTAATTTGACATCACATAAAGCTATATACTCCAAAAAATAAGACAGCTACGGGCTTGGGCTTTTTTTTGAAACACACGCTATAAGTAAATTAACAGATTGTATTTAAAAACTCCCTCGCAGTTAGCATGTATTTGGAAACAGCAATGAAAACAATAAAAAAATTTCAGTAAACCAAATATTACAAGAATAATTAAAAAAATTACCCGTGGAAAAATAAAGTATGATTGAACTACTTTGAAATGGTAGCTAACTGCGAAAGAGTTTCTTACCTGTAATCTTCAATCTACGCACTTCGTTTCATCTACTTCTTCGTTTCTGACTATTTGAAAGTGGATATCCCTATAGTCGAACACTCGTTTATTATATTTTGCTTCCGGACAAATAGTAATAGCAGGAAACGGAATCTGATACAATGGGGTATCTTCAGTTGCAAAACTGACAACCACTGGACTATTCTCATATTTATACATAATTTTACAAATCATATAGATACAACCACCTAATGAAAGGATAAGAAGCAAAGCCCAAACAACCCTTAAATGTGTAATAAAGTAAACAAAAATTATGTAAGGAACTCACGCACTTTTCCGTTCTTGATCGTTTTTCGGTGACATACCGAAGTCCGTGGATGCCTGTTAATTGAGTATATTCCCTTAAATACTTTCTCAGATTGTGCCAAAATCCTCTTTGTTTTGTTGTACGCACGCTTGAAATTTCTTCATTCGCTCGTTCATTATTTACGAATGCCATTATTTGTGAAGCACAAAACACACTTCCGATTGTGAATTTATGACATGTGCGACTAGTTACATGCTAGTGGAACGGATAGACAAGGCCACCGGCGTCGTATTTAGGTGTATGTAAAGTTGAAGCGATTTCATCCACTTGTTACATGACAGCGATTTATTTCACTAAAGGTGTATACCTGAAATGAAAACTAAGCGTACGTAGGTGCGCCTGAAACAAATAAGTTTTGTGTCTGATCTACTATAATATAATTCTTACACTAAAATTTGCTACACTTTAAGATTTATGACGTGCTAGGTATGTACCTATTGATTATGTGAGTAATGCGTTCGTGTTCCTTGCAAATTAGTTTAAATAAATGGGAGTGGTTGGATTCGCCACAGTGTTAAGATAAGAAAGAATACAGCAATGTGATAAAAGCATTTACAACCCTGATGAATCCTACTTTATTTCATTTTTTCTCAAATGTGTTTTTTTTACAAACATTAACTTAGATTATTAAAAAAACATAGGTTTGAAATTATGCTGAATTTTTGTTTAAAAAATTGGTCTAAGTAAATTCGGCAGAACTTCCCTCGCACTTAAAAATTATATCCAATAAATCCGGCCTCTTTGAAAAATTATCAAATTTGATTTTGCGATTTTTGTTTGGTGATAACCCGTATAAAGTAAAAACCAGCGGCATAATTAACACCCTGCGCCATAGGGACACAAATTCCAAGGGGACACGGTCTGCACGAGTAGGGACAATATTAAAGCAGATAACCAGCAGGAAAAATTCCCTCTCAGTAATAATAACATGCTTAACTTCGTGTGTTTATGTTGATACATCGAAAGAACATAATGTTGAAATTTGTTTGATTTGAATGAGTTTGTCTCCTCACAACAGAGGACTATAATTATTGCTTAAGCAGTTGAACAAAATTGTCGGATATTATTATTATTCTTATTTTGTTATTATTAAATAAAAACGTGCGTATTCTCACATTTTCGAGAAAATGGGGTGACGCGTTCTTAAGTGGACCAATGCAAAATTAGAAAGTGACTGATTTTATTAAATTTATTTCATCTAATGAAAAAAGAGGTGCCGTCTACCAGCTCCCAACGTTCGACCTTAGAATGCGAGGGGGGGGTTTCATACAAATGAGCCATGTTAGCTGTAACACGATTGCGTACTATTTCCAATTACAGGAAACAATTAAATAAAATCAATGAACAAACCGATAATCTAAGCATTAGTACAGCAATAAAGAAAAAAAAAACAAAGAAAATAATTTAAAAATAAACAAACATTATATATCTCCATATCAAGATAACTGCTTAATTTTCTAACATATCTAACAAAATCAAAATTTATAGCGCATGCATTAGTGATTATATTAAAGTGATTGCACATTAAGTTTAAGGGCGATCTGCTTAATTATGGACAGTCAATATTGTTATTAAGTACATTATATAAAAAATTTAGTCTCAATATTACGCGCCTACTCGTAGTACTTAACAAATTACAATTGAATCTACGTAATAAAGTAGAATGATTACAACTTCTAGGTGCATAGGTCTTATCGATTAAATAACAGACGACTTTTAAAAATTTTCTCTGAACAGCTTCAATTTGTTGCATGTGGATAGCATAAATAGGAAACCAGATTAAAGCACAATATTCCAGTCGAGAGCTAATAAGTGACTTAAATAATAGAATCAGTGAACTTGCATTCGTAAAATCGCGACAGTTTCGGAAAATAAAACCATATATTTTATAAGGTTTTGAAATACAGTCCGATATATGATATGTAAAATACGAGTAAAACTTATTGTCGAAGATTACAGCAAAGTCTTTAAAGCGATCTAATCGAATTAAGTGTTTGCCTTCTATACTATAATTGTAAATAATGTTAATTTCTTTTCTAGAATAAGTTACAACGTAACATTTATCTTTATTTAGACATAGCCGGTTGTTGTAACCTTAGTTGGTGAGAATTTTTGCATCATTTTTGCAATTTTATGCAATCACTTAGCGATTTTACATCGAGGAAAAGTTTCAAATCGTCTGCAAAAAGTAACTTATTACTTGATATAACATCAACTACGTCATTAATAAAGATTAAGAACAATAGCGGACCTAAATTTGACTCCCGATATCGGCGAGAAAGAATTAGAAACGAAATTATTGTATTTAATACTCAAATTTCGTACAATAAGGTATGATTCCATTAATGATAATAATGGTTTAGTAAAGTATATAATGAATTCAAAAACTTTGGCAAAGTTGCACAACAAGCAGATAATAATAGGTCTATAAATTTTCTATACAAGTTACATCTCCCTTCTTAAAAATTGGTGTAATTGATGTTGTCTTCCACACATCAGGAACAACAGATGAAGTCAATATTAGATTGAAGAAATAAAATAGAGGTTTGGCGAAAACATAGGACAATCTTTTAGCAGGAAACTTGGTATCATATCAGTACCGGACGTGGAAGAGTTTTTTAGAACATGGAGAATTTCGTCTTCAGATATATGGGAGACTCATACAATTATTAAGTTCGATATTTCTTGACCCGGAATTGAAATGGACTATTGGGATTTGTTGCTATGTCTACGCTGCTGAAGAAGGTGCTAAAGCCATTGATAATATCAACTGGTGAGGTTAATTCAGAGTTTTCATACTTCATAGAACTTGGGATTCTCGAGCGGTCTCTCTTATTTTGTATACCTACCAGGACCAAAACTTTTTCGGTTCAGTAGAAATTTGGGCTTGAATATTATCAATATAGTATTTATGAGCATTAATATGTAGTTAGAACTTTGCATAATGATCTGAAAAATTTGAATTTATTAAGGAAGGACTGGCTTTTGCATTATTTGAATTTCCTGTGAAAATAAGTTTTCGACAAATACAATTAATTAATTCTTGGTTGAACCAACATGGACATCGACGATTACTCTTATTAAATTTAAAAGTAGGACCTCAAGCTTCAAATATTTTATATACTTAAGATGTCGTAAAAAGTAATGCATGCGTCATTAACCATATTTGAGTTATAGATGGCCGACCAGTCCGTGGATAGAAGAGTGTTATATAAATATAAAAAATCTGCTTTTTTGAAATTGAACTGTTTGGAGTTTGGGTTCATCTGGAAATTATTTACTGGTTTTACTTCAATTTGATACTGAATTTCCAAAGCTGGATTATAACGATCTTCAGCAACTAGAGGGTTGTGTGACTTATAAACAAGAACTGTTGAATTAGTAAATATTAGATCAAGAGTACGGTTAAGGATATTAAGAATGTGATTAAATTGAAATAAGTTTAGGAAGATCGCAAAATTGTTTAAAAGTGATGAAAACCGATCATTGGAATTTGCAGAAAATGGTGGAATATTAAAGTCTCCAACGATGAATACTTATTATTATGAAATTCTTCCAAACTACTTAAGAGATCTAAAAGCGGTTCATAGTCTTCTTATGAAGAAGTGGAAGGTGGAATATAGATCACAAATACATAGAAGAAACTTTTAGAAGTTGAAGAAATTTTCACACAAATAATATCAATAGTAGGCAGTGTATCAGTAATTGAAGAAAGGTTTACCATTGAAGCATTCAGCACATTATAATTTCTATCTTTACGGAAGACAACATAATCTTGTGTGAAAAGTTCATTACTCGATATACTCTCAGACAATCACGTTTCTATGAAATCGAAGTTGCAGGCAAAAATATTTCTATAAAACATATTGACTTTAGAACGTAAACCTCGTACATTTTGGTAAAATAATAGAGCCCGATGTTGGTAATTGGGTGAATTAATTAGTTTAAACGAATGATACGTGGTGAACAGTTGTAGTACCGAATTTTCAGCTTATTTTCACCTTGTTTAATTCTGTCATTCATGTCTCCTGTTTGAGTTATTTGTAAAAATCTAACTCTTTTGGGGTACGATTATAGGATAAACGAATATATTTGTATTGTTCGGTCGTAATAAGATTTTTAGCCTTTGGAATAATATTTGATACATCTTGCTCACTCCTTAAAAACACTTTAATAGGTCTAATACGTGATGCATTGAACTTGCCCCATCTCTGACAATGAAAATTAGTCATACTCGTGATCGACAGAATTTAAGACTTCTGAAACAAATCTTATGTTCTTATCAAGTCGTTCAAATTTAGGTATGGATTCCGAATGTTCAGGTACGTTGAAAACTATAATATTGAAACTGCGTTAGTGTCGTTTTAACACTTCTTGAACAATATCTTGAAATGATTGTGACGCTGGAGGCTGTTGATTGATGATAGATTTTGCGCTATTGATTTGCTCTTCCAACTCACGTTTAAGATCCTCTATAGATGACGTAAATTCAGTACGAAGATCAGTAGTCAACATTTTGAGATTTTTAGAAAAAGACATATTACGTTCACAAGAATTACATACTAGCTTGAACGCTTTCGATTTGGAACATGTAACTGCGATATCTTATTCACACACGCAGTGTGTGTCAATAGTGTTACGGGACCGGCTTCTGGACGTGGTGAAACTCCTCCACGACGACGTGCTCCGTCTTGAGAAAGACGTGCGCTCGAAGGTTGCGAAATTAGGAGCGGGAAAAAAGGTGGTGAAATAAAATGCAGATCTAGCGTAACGAGTCACGGGGGCCCCTGGAGTCGATTCTGGGGTCGCCGGCCGGCTGCACCAGCGCCGGAGTGGTCTTCCTCCAGGTCCCCGAGGTGGTTGGATGGCTTCTTCTTGCTCTAGTCCTCGCTGTTGACTGCCACGAGTCTTTTTTTTTTTTTTTTTGGTGGAGGGGAAATGTCTACGCAGACCACCGTAATGGTTCTTGGCCTCTTCTGCGGCCTACGGTGGTACTGGGGGAATGGTTACCGCCCTAAAACCCCTCCTTCTTCTGCTCGGGTACCAGGACATTGTCCCTTACACCCACAACGCGCATCCCGGTAGACACAGCGGGAGCTGCGCTACCGAGCTCGGTTGAGCTATTGATTGCCTAGGAGTTGGCCCCCATCATCGGCTCTTCCTCGCGGTCCTGCGGCCGGTGGAGAGATCTGAAACAGAAAAAATGCGCTATGCGCTGGCGTTAGATGTGCAACACCTTGGAGGCGATGCGGTCGGGAAGTTGGGAAGGCCGGGAAAGGCCGGTCGGTGGAGACGGCAGGTGGTGTTACTTGCCGATTCGGTCTTCAAGCAGCGCCCTGCGGGGCCGCTTGCGACTAGGGGGGGCTTCCTCGTCGAACTCGTAGTCGACGGCTTCTCGCACCAGGGGGTTGGGGTGCTCTTCA